GTATGAAAACAGCAGTTGACAGCCGCTGACAGTGGTTTGTTGACAAGATTATTGTACATGTGGAAACTGGAAACTATTATTTCCTCGGTTTTTTCAAAGTTTTTTCCTAAGAATGGTGATTGTGTAGTGTGCCTTTTTGTAAAAATAATTCCTATTTACCGGCGGACGTGTCTCTCCATAAGTTTCCATCAAATCCTACATTTGTCAAATTTTGGATACATGAAATCAGAAAGAATACTCGCAAAAAAAAAGGAAATCCACGGCCTATCAAGTATACAAAGTAATCCACGTTCAAGTTTAGTTTACGAGAGCTGTGTGCTTCCAAAATAATCCACCGCTTTCTCCATAGCGAAGTTCTGCAAATGAAGTAGTGACTTTTCCCACATTTTCTTTCAAAACACCCAATACACACTGGCATTGACAAGCAAGCAAATGTTGGCGGGAAAATGATTGTTTTCATAAAATATGTTTTTTATTTAGGCCGTGTTCGTTTTTGTCATCTTTTTGGTCGATTTGCTCCGAAATTTTGACAGGCACGTGACTGAATGAGACAGTTTCAATTTACAAATCACGTGCCTGTCAAAATTTCAGAGCAAATCGACGAAAAAGATGACTAAAACGAACACGGCTTTTAAGATAAAAGTCAAAGTGACATTATGTTGGCAATACAATGTAAAATTGTCAATGCTTTCAAATCTTTTATGTATAAAAGGCTTGTACTGCCAACATAGTTACTAAATTTTTGACTTGGGGAATTATCTTTAAAAAAAAAACGGACTTTACTTTATTGTCCATCTCTTTTGGTTCCATGAAATAACAGAACATGAAATAACAGAACATGAATGAACAGAACGTGAAAAAGCAGAACATGAAAAAACAGAACAGTGAAAAAACAGAACAGTGATAAAACAGAACAAGCAAAAAAGAGAACTATGACATAACAGAACCGAGAAAAAAGAGAACACTGAAATAAGAGAACCTTGACAAAACAGAACTCTGAAAAATAAGAACAACTGGAAAAAATAAAGGATGAAAAACAAAAAATAGGTATCTAGTTATTGAACTTTAATGAATATTTTTTCACTCATGTATATATTTTCCCTTAAGAGAAGTGAGATTATAATAGCTAAATAACTCAAACAGGCCTTATCTATACTTAATTTCCGAGAATATCAATGTTATAGTTATGTTATATGGGTCATTGTTGAAAGGGGCCTGAATAACTTAGGCCCTATTGCTTGATGTTAAAAGTAGGTAATTAATTTCTGAGTGGTTAAAGTTTAAAAATGTAACAAAGAAAACACAATTACTCCCATATTATTCAATTGTTCAGGTTAGTCGGGTTTGAATATAAAATTTAAAATAACAACAACTGGACAAAATAAAGGATGAAAAACACAAAATACCTAGAATATTTTTTCACTTATGTATATATTAAAAAAAAAATTACTGTAAGTTTGCCATTCGCCGCAAATACACCAGTTTATCATCATAATTTTCATATTCTTCCACAACTGCTGCCACTTGATTGCTGAGGTTCTCATACTTCTTCTTCCGTACTTCTGGGCGACCAGTTGCTGCATTGGATAGCAGCAACCGTTGGCAGGCAATGTCTCGCCTTAATCCATCTAGCAAATTCAATATGCTAGGATGGCTGCAGTGGAAGATGGAGTTCAAAGCGTTGTGGAAGCCTTCACAACAATTTGTTGTTTTTGGGCTTCTTTCGGCAGCGGCTCCGAAATGGTTCCACAACCCGATTGGAAATTGCGGTGATCTTCCAGCAGCGCCCTCTATGTATGTTGAGAAGAAATACGTCAACACGGCGTTGTGGCCATCATCATCGGGAAAAGTTGCTGCTAGGTCATCAAATACAGATCGCACGTCGTGTTCTGGTACAAACGACAGTGCAGCCAGAGACTTCAGTTTCAATTTCACGTCAATATCAGACTCATAATCCGTTTTCAAGCCAGCACTATTAATTTTCCGTAACAAACTCTGGGATAGATGGAAGTAGCATCCCTTAATTTCTGCTTCTGGGAAGGCGGTTCGAGCAGCAGAAATGCATGCTTTCTCAAAATCAACCAGAATCTTCTGAGGTGCGATGCTGGGCACTAAATCCTTTAATATTGTGAACATTCGACGGTATGTATCGCAGTTCTTTTTTTGCAGCAAAAAGTAAATGCAAGGTGGATAGCTGTTGCCAACTTTAGCATGCCACGTATATAGTTGGTAAAACATGTTGGGGGCTTTGTCGAATGTTCCGTCTCCATAGATTATAGCCTTATCCAATTCTCGCAGCAATTCTCCATTCCCAATTACCAAAATCCTTTCTTGATCGTCCGCTCCTGTGTCGTGCAGAATCAAGTCCGCATAATTTTCATGGATCCGAAAATTTGTTGTGGTCGGATTCGGAATATGAGCCGTTTTCTTGTGGTTGAAAAGATTTCTGGTCAAGGAAGATTGCTTTGGCAAATGTTCCAATACATCGCAACTTAGGTTGGTTAATACATGTCCCAATACATTTCTTGGAGTTGCACCAACTGCCTTCATGTCACGCTTCAATATGGCCTTAATAATATTAGCCTGAGCTACTTGCGGTTTGGAATCATGACAATGTTGTGGAACCTCACCAATTATGTTGTCTTCTTGGGATCTCAAGAAGGCCTTACACTTGGTAGAATAGTAGATTCTGCACCTCCACATGATGACTCCACTTTTGTTTTCTCTGTACTTCGTATATTCATACCCTTGGTACACAAGAACCCTATTTCCCTTCTGCGTGACAGAATATTCCATTGCAATGATAGGTGAAATAAAGATTAAACACAAAATACACAGAAAAAAGCAATTTTACAATTAGATACACAACAGTTCAAATGAAATTCGAAAAGTCGACTGAAGAATAAAAGTTGACTACTCAAATTTATATTCAAACTGAACCAACCTGAACAATTGAATAATATGGGAGTAATTGTGTTTTCTTTGTTACATTTTTAAACTTTAACCAAAACCCACCGATCTCATTAACAGACAATCCCTCTCAACAAAGTTATATTTTCCTAACATTAATATTCTCAGAAACTAATTACCTAATTTTAACATCAAGCAATAAGACCTAAGTTATTCAGGCCCCTTTCAACAAAGACCCATATAACATAACTAAAACATTGATATTCTCGGAAATTAAGTATAAATAAGTCCTGTTTGATTTATTTAGCTATTATAATTTCACTTCTCTTAAGGGAAAATATAGGATTTAGAAAAAAAATCTATGCCAGACAGGGTTTTTTTCTAAAATTCATCTCGTTCAAACCTACAATTAAAGAAAAAAACGCTTTTCAATTTTTCCCCTTAACACCCCTAACTCCCTTAATATGCATTTTACGACCCATGTTTATAGGAAGTTTTTAAACCAGTTTTATGAGTACTATCACCCCCCAAATTTCTTTACACCATTTCAATGACACCCTACATGAGTAAAAAAATATTCATTAAAGTTCAATAACTAGATACCTATTTTTTGTTTTTCATCCTTTATTATTTCCAGTTGTTCTTATTTTTCAGAGTTCTGTTTTGTCAAGGTTCTCTTATTTCAGTGTTCTCTATTTTCTCGGTTCTGTTATGTCATAGTTCTCTTTTTTCCTTGTTCTGTTTTATCACTGTTCTGTTTTTTCACTGTTCTGTTTTTTCATGTTCTGCTTTTTCACGTTCTGTTCATTCATGTTCTGTTATTTCATGTTCTGTTCCGTCCGGTTTCCATCTCTTTTAATTGAAAACGTCAATTAAACTTCGAGTGCCATGTCATACGCGCGTACGGAATGTAAATCAGTGCCCTATGCACTTACGGATTGTAATATAGTTATGCGTTATGCGCACGCCAAATCTCGTCTCCAGCGGCCGAATATCCTGTTTTATTTTTGTGATTATTGTGATTGTCGGGCTTATATAGGTACTGTTGTGTTTATGAAAACACCTTTCTGGAGTTGTATTTATGAAAACACCTTTCTGGTGTTGTATTTATGAAAACACCTTACTGGGTGATTATTTTGACAGATGTCAGCTGTATTTTCAGTACGTGTGAGCGGTCGTAGCCGATAGTTCGATCCTGTAATTATTTCTCATTTAATCCTAACGTTTCAATTAGTAAAGTGTACCCAAGTTAATTAAACGTGTTTTTTTTAAACATAATATCTGGCAACGAGGTCGGTTACTTGCTAGTTTTCGTCGGGATTAGAATTTTGAGAAAAGGGGATCTTCTAGGTTATGTGGTAGTGCTACGTTCCCCGTTCCCGTATCCAGTGGAGCTACGTCCTAGGCGTTTTCAAAAAGACAAACAGAAAAATGGCGCTCATTGGGAATATTGAGCCGTTCAAAGGTCCGATAGGAGATTTTGATACCTATTTGGAAAGGATTGATCATCTGTTTCGTGTAAATAGTGTCACAGATGATAAGATGAAGGTATCCATGTTCATTACCTTAGCAGGACCTGAGGTGTACCAAACGTTGAAAAACCTCGTTTCTCTGGAAAAACCAGGCGACTTAACTTTTGAGAGATTGACGACAAAATTAAAAACCCATTATTCACCGCCAGTCTCGGAAATATATGCACGTTTTGTGTTCAATAAATGCAACCAAAAGCCTGACTAAGGTATTGCAGATTTTGCGGTGGAATTACGCAAGTTAGCTAGCTCTTGTAAGTTTGGACAGTTTTTGGAGGAGGCTTTGCGTGATAAATTTGTGTGTGGAGTTCGTTCTGAAAGCATTCAGAAAAAGTTATTGTCAGAAAACCAATTGACCTTCACTAAAGCATGTAAAATTGCCCAAGCTGTTGAATTGGCAGAAAAACAAGTCCAGAACTTGTCAAATGGTGGAGCTTCAGGGTCTTCGGGTAATGTTAATTACATTAAAGGAAACAAAAACAATAATTATAGACCTGGCAAGTTCTCCAACAATGCTCAACAAGAGCATGCTGTTGGCAGTCACAGTAATGATTGCAACAAATGTGGAGAAATCATGTGAAAAATAAATGCCCCGCTGCCAAATGGAAATGTTTCAAATGTAATAAGTTTGGTCATTATAGAAATCTATGTCCAGGTACAGACAAAAAGCCATATATTGTAGGAGCAATGGAGCAGCAGGAGCTCGAGCAGGAGGATGTGTATTCGGAAGAAGTAAATAGTGATCTATACAATTTAAGTTTAAATACTTTGAATGTTGTGAGTGCTAGTGATAATTCACCTCATCGGCTTCCTTTGGATGTAAATAGTAAGGAAATTGTTTTTGAAACTGATACAGGAGCATGCAAAACTGTTATGTCTGAAAATAAATTCAACCAGACCGTAAATGTTCCCTTGTCACCGGTTAAATTTAAGTTGAATGTAGTTTCGGGTCAAAATATAGAGGCAATAGGAGAGTGTTCAGTAAATGTAGAGTTTCAGGGCAAAAATTATTTGCTGCCATTGACTATTATTGAATCAAATAAAGAGTTTATGCCCCTGCTTGGCAGAAATTGGCTCAATGTTTTGTTTCCGAACTGGCAAAATGAATTTTCTACAAAAGAACAGATTAACCATTTTTTTAATGATGTTATCGTTGAAGAATTGCAAAATAAATATAAAAACGTCTTGGCTCAAATCTATGTAGTCCCATAAAATATTTTAACATAAAGTTTAGCCTTAAAGACAATATGACTCCGATTTTCAAGAGAGCATATTCTATGCCATACGCATTAAAGCCCAAGGTAGAGTCTAAATTGAAACAAATGGTTGATGTTGGAATTCTTAAACCAGTTACACACAGTGAATGGGCATCACCTATTGTGGTTGTACCAAAGAAAACAGGTGATGTCAGAATATGTACCTACTTTCGAGTATCTGTAAATAAAATTTTGAATATTGAACAATATCCACTCCCCACTCCAGACGATATATTTGCTGGCCTGGCAGGTGGGACAATTTTTTCGGTTCTAGATTTATCTGGAGCATATCAACAGTTACAAGTACACCCAGATTTCCAAAAATATTCAACCATAAACACGCATATAGGGTTATTCCAATTTACTCGTTTAACATATGGCATAGCGTCGGCTCCAGCCATTTTCCAATCTGTTATGGACCAAATTTTATCAGGAATACCTAAAGTGAATTGTTACTTAGATGATATTCTTATTTCATCAACGTCGTTGGATGATGCTCAAAAATCTTTGAATGTGGTTTTATCCAGGCTCAGTGAATATAACGTTAAAGTGAATTGGGAAAAATGTAAAATATTTGAAAATAGGGTAGAATATCTTGGCCACTGTATTGATCGTGAGGGCATTCACCCCACTCAAGAGAAAGTAAGAGCTATTCGTGACGCCCCTGAGCCTCAGAACATTACTCAGCTACGTAGCTATCTTGGTCTTTTGAATTATTACAGTAAATTTTTGCCTATGTTATCTTCACAGTTAAGGCCACTATATAAATTACTGGAAAAAGAGGTTGAATTTGATTTTGGGGTTGAGTGTCGCAAAGCTTTCAATTTAAGTAAAGATTTGATAATGAAGAAACAAGTTTTAGTACATTATGACCCTAAGAAGGTCATTGTCATTTCATGTGACGCCAGCTCATATGGCGTTGGGGGAGTTCTTAGCCATCGGGAAAATGGCATTGAAAAACCCGTATTGTTTGTTTCTGGAACTTTATCTAAAGCGGAAAGAAATTATTCACAATTAGAGCGAGAAGCTTTGGCAATCATATTTTGTGTCAAGCGGTTTCATAAATATATATATGGGCGTTCTTTTATCTTGGTGTCAGACCATGAACCATTGAAAGTAATTTTCAATCCATCTAAGAATTACCTATTACTTGTGAAGATGTTGCTAAAGTTTCAAGTAAAGATCAAATTTTTGTGAAAGTTATGGATTGGGTGAAAACTGGTTGGCCTAATAAAGTTAGTGATGATAGATTCAAGCCATTTTTTCTTAAAAGGAATGAACTAACCATTGAACAAGGGTGCCTCATGGTAGGGTCACGAATAGCTATTTCAGAAGGTTTACAAATGGAGCTGTTACACTTATTACATGAAGATCATGTAGGTATAGTGCGATCCAAAATGTTGGAAGGTATTGGTTAGGAAACTGGGACCGTATTATAGGGAGAAATGGGTACAAGGTGAAATTGTAGAGCACACCAGTGCGGTTACATACATGGTAAAGGTTAGTGGCAAAACAGTGTACAAGCATGTCAATAATCTGAGGAAATTACCATTCCCTGAGCAGAATAGTCAATTACAAATTCCATGTGACACTGTTCTGCCGCTGGCTGCCACTGTGGGCGCAGAAATGGTGATGGCTTCGCCTGCAGTGACACATCCAGTTTCAAGTGGATCTTCTAACTTGAGTAAATCTGGTACTGAGAACGAAAATAATGATGAGTTAGATAAAGCAATGGCCATGCCTACTTCTTTGGGTACACCCAAGAATATTACTGGCTCTTCTGATTCTAATATTTCAGAAAACTCTGGATGAGGCGAAGTGAACGCATTCGAAAACCGCCACATAAATTAAATCTTTAAATATATATAAGTATATCACTTATTTCAGTAGAAAATGTATTAGTTTATTTCGTTTATTATTTGTGTAGTTAGTAGTTAGAACTTAAGAAATAGGAAAATGTTGTGTTTATGAAAACATCTTTCTGGTGTTGTATTTATGAAAACACCTTACTGGGTGATTATTTTGACAGATGTCAGCTGTATTTTCATTACGTGTGAGCGGTCGTAGCCGATAGTTCGATCCTGTAAATATTTCTCATTTAATCCTAACGTTTCAATTAGTAAAGTGTACCCAAGTTAATTAAACGTGTTTTTTTTTAAACATAATAGGTACATAGGTACTTCTATGGAGTTTGGCGTTGCGTCCTCTCCTCCGATTTTCTTATAAATATTTTGAACAATAAATTGGCAGTTATTGCTTCGCCGGCCATATTTAAATCAGATTTCTTGAGTAAGGTCACTCAATAAGTTACTTCGTTCTAAATGGCTTGATTCACGACGCGTTTCGGCTTTCGGTGTTTCTCCTTAATGGCCGACAATTTGTGTGTTTGTTTACAATTGCCAGATAACTAGTGCATGTGATTAATAATAGTTAAGTTAGATCTCAGTTAGTGATATAAGCCGTTTTTTCGCATCCACTTTTTTGACTGTAGCTACTCCTAACTCCCTAATATTTTCCAACTTTCTTATTAAATAAATTACGTACATATTAAATTACGTAGGTACATATATTATAAATTATATACATTACGTAAATAAAATATATGAGATATACCTAATTGGAAGTAGATTTTTGGTAGATATTTATCAAAATTGTTCCAGTAGAATTTTAGTAGATTCAGACAAAGAAGCTAGTAGATTCGCTAAAAAAAAGGTAGCAACGCTGCGCTTAAGAATGAGAGTATTTTTTTATTCTTATTTTTTATTATATTGTAAATCGAGTTGTAAATCTTCTGAATAGAATTAGAGTTTACTTGTAATAGATGTAAGTTTGTATCTGGTAATTGGCTTCTAATTGGCTGCTAATACTTGGTAAATAAACAAATCAATACAACATTAAATATTACTTGCACTCTAATTATACACATGATATTTTCTATAACCGAGCGCAAAGTAAACTTTGTCGCTCGGCGAGTTGAAAAGTCCTTTTAGAGGAGCAAGCGTTTTGTTTACTTTCCCGCTCGCAGAGCAACAAAACAAAGTTTACTTCGCGCTCGGTTGTAGAAAAAGTCGTGTGTGTAATCCGAGTGAAAAATAATATTGTCGCTCTCGCGAGATAGACGAGTTATATTGTAAGACCCTATGTTATCTTTATACTAATAATTCTCCTTTCCTATGATAATTATAAGGGTACGCCTATGTCAAAACTCATAATAATGTGAAACTGCTTAATCAGCGGTACTGCACTGGTAGTACCACCAATCCGCCTACGTAAATGCTGCATCAGCAGTTATTTCTTATTTGAGCCGGCGCAATCCCGTAAGGAGCGTTCATTTGTTTTCAGGCATTCGCTGTAGCAATTTGATCCACATATTTTCGTTTGTCACTATTGTATTTCAATTAATAAAATAAATGTTTTTTAAAAATACAAGTTTCTGAATCGAAAATATAATTGGCGCGTCGACTGAATAATTGATATTAGACTTTAATTTTTCAAGAAAAAAATAAAATTTTCAATTTTTTAATTTTAATTTTCAAGTTACTGAATAATTTATTTCGAAACTTATTCCAAGGAAAACATAAAAATTCTAATTTTGAATTTTTTCGATTTTTCCAGTTTTTAATTTCAAGAAAGTAAACTTTGAGATTAAATAAATACATTTTTCTACGAGCGTGCGGGAAATGGCTCTTCCCGCACGATTTGCTGTGCGGGAAGAGATTTCTTCCCGCACTCAGTGCGGGAAGAGTTTGAAATAATCATTGTGACATGGACAGGGGCGGATGGGGCTCCTGAGATCGGCGCGGGAAGTCGATTGAAACGGCGCCGTGCCTGTCTAGCAAAAAAAAAAAAAACATATGAGCAGTTCGCACGCGGTACAAGTGAAACCTTCGTAGTAAAACTAAACTGAAAAAGCAACTGTAATGAATGAGAGGAAGGCAACAAAGTATCGCACAAAGACCAGACGAAGATAATACGTATAAGTTTGCGATCTTTCTCGTTCTCTCGCAGGCAACAACATCGTATACGATGTTGTTGCCTGATATGTATGCCTGATATGTATATATACATATACATTTATAGTTCGTCTCTTGTCTCTTTCTTTGTAGTGTCGCTTTTTCGTCCCAAAGCACACCCGTGCTAAAGTAGTTTTCACATCAAAATTGAAAAGCACACGCGATCGACTTCGGCGCATACTTTTCTGTTGACACGCGATCGACTTCTGCGCATACTTTTCTGTTGAGTGTTGAGTAGTAAAGACAAGACGACGAAATTACTCTATTTGCCGATAATCGGATATCGGAGCCGCGCCGTTCGGAGGTCTTTTCTCACCTTTTTTCTCACAGAAATCACAAACCAGTCACAGCGTTTTTGATTCTTGCAGATCACCAACAACCAGTTGTCTGACTATTTTTGACCAATCAAATTCGCTCTGACGGGTTTGTGTTTTCTGTGAGAACAGCCCTAGTATACGGAGATGAACTTTCTTGTCGCTCGTCTTTTTCTACTCCATTATGCATGCAATCTGGAATAATAAAAAGAGGCAAACAAACGCGAAGATACCTCAAAATGGAATCTAGAAAGCAATGCAACTTGCCATGAAACAATTAGGAAAGGTATGGATGGGCGCTTACTGCATGCATACTAAAGCATACTTATATGAATTACAGAGTTGTAAAGTTGCCAACTGCCGAATCAATTAATTGATAAATTAGCTATATGGCTTTTCTGCTTTTTCAATCATTTTCGAACTTCCCGCAGTGGCGCCTGAAGGACCGGGAAATCTCCCGGCCTCTCGGTGGGCCCATCCGCCCCTGGACATGGAATTGTTTGTATTGTTGATACACCTATACCTGTACCTTTACCTTTTTATAAATACCTTTTAATACATTTTTAATTTCACCTTCTGCATAATCGCATTTTGTTTAAATTAAACTCTTCGTAACATCAGCTTTAGTATGCTCGTAGAAAAAATATAGTTCCTAACTCTTGCGGGTAGAATTTAATTTAAAAAAAAAAAAATTAACGACTAAATAAATACGTAATTTAAAAGAAAAATATAATTGATAACTAAGTAATTAATTTTAAAAATATTATCAACGACTAAATGAATAATTAATTTTAAAAATATAATTGATAACTTAATATAGTTTAACCATTATTAATTGAAATTTCATAAAAAAGGCGGCTCAGTTGATCTCTTTGAAGTCACTTGGGAATCCATAGCCGTCTAAATATTATTATCATGACAAATGAAAACAAATTGGTTAATAAAGAATAAACATACTCCAGATATTTCTATAAAAACTGAAATGACGAACGCCATTGCCCCGAAATTCTAGCTGATTTACCTCTAGAATACAGTGGAGTTAATACGTTAAATAAATGGGCAAAATTCATATAGTAGGTAATCCTTAAAATTCCGTTTTAAACTATTGAAATAAATCAAATATAAATATTTGAATGGGACTATTATTCCTTTATTAAAAATTCAAATTTGAAATTGATTTTTATTCAATTATCTGTGTAATTTTATACTTTTGTCCACTTCTAAAGAGAATATCTCACACTGTCAACAAGAGCGGCTTAGCTTTGTCGGCAAGTGACAAAGCCTAGCGGCATCGCCAACAATTTTCAAGTTTTTTTGCCGGCGTGCGGTGTCTTTGTTATAGTGTACCAGGACTAGGCATAAAAATATAAAAATTATTTTATATTATTATAAGGTTATTTTTCTAATATTGAGTAGTCACCATAGAGATGCGATTTTCAATTGATAATGGTTATACTTTACCTAATTCATTTTAAATTTTGAATTTTTAATTTAAGAAAAACAAAAAATTTCGATTTATTTTCATAAATTATGAATATCTAATACCTAATTTTGAATGTTTGAATTTTTTTGAATTTTTAAATTTTTGAATTTTTAATTTTCAAAAAAAAAAAAATAATAATAATAATAATGAACTTCGTTGACCAGTCAGAAGTTCAATTTTGCTTGGACAGGGAGCTTCAGCCTATATCCTTCTGAGGAGTCCTAGAGTAAAAATCAAACGAGAAGAAGCCACTGTCGTTAGCTCTGACAAAGAAAGCAGATTTCCTTTTCTCCGGGTCCGTCCCATTTAAAGTGAGACAAACGATAAAGCGTGTGGCTTCTTCTCGATTGATTTCTACTCTAACAAGGAATAAACGCGTCAAGGATTGGCACGGAAAGTCTGGGTCCACTGCTCAGTGGGTCGATTCCCAAACAGGGACCGCTGTGTCCGTGTCCCTGTATTCACGTTGGTCATTACCTGAAAAAATCTTTCTAACAATAATAATAATAATAGATTTTTTTAAAAAAAACTATTCTTAATTTTCTATTATAAATAATTTTTTCCAATTTTTATAATTTCCAGAAAAAAAAATAATAAATTTTTGGGGAAAGTATTTTTTATTTTTCTATCTATGAATAAGCATATAATTCAAAAAAAACATGTCAGATTCTGAAGAGGAAATACAGAACCTCTTAACCCAATTTCACTTAACTCATTTATTATAATCCAAGTATTAATAATTCGTTAAGAAATAATAATCATCAACCAAGAACCATGGGTGATAATTTGAAATCTATTGTACAATTACTTAAGCCTTTTGGTGGCGAAAAAGAATACTTAGAATATTTTATCAGTAATATCGAACAATTTTATACTACATATTATACTGGCGAAAATTCACAGAAAGAATATGTTATAACAGCAATTAAATCAAAATTAATCAATGAAGCAGGAAACTTCCTTATGTCACGTCCTGACTTAAAATTATGGATTGTTAACATAAAGAACGCTTCAAGATTAAAATATGGAGACCCATATTCTGGACAAAACTTAGTACAAGAATTAATGTATACTACTCGAAATATTGAAGAGGATATTTTTGATTATTTAGAGAGAATAAAAAGTTTAAATCATAGAATAACTTCTAAAATAAAGAGTGATCAAAATTTAGTTGCAGTCGCAAATGTTTTGGTAGCCCAAAATGAAATAATGGCAATCCAAAATCTAATCACAAACTCTTCTGTTGAATTGAGAACAATTTTAATGGTGCAAAATCTACAAACTTCAGATGCAGCTACAGGTTTCGTATTAAATTACCAATAAGCTGAAAACCATATGAAATTTACTAATTCAATTAATAAAAATACCAATACACATACTTCATACACTAATTCAAAACAGAAAACACAAACGTTTACACAATTCCCACGAAGAAAATTCGTGCAAACATAGTTTCCACAGAAACAATTTCAACAATCACAATTTCAACAATCACAATTTCCCTTACAACCTATAAACATTCAGCCAAGAGCGAATTATCAACAGAAATTCCCAACTAGTTCACAAACTTTCGGAAAAAACTATAATAAACAATCCAATGTATTTAAGAAAAATACAAACCAACAATTTCCAAAACCGACACCTATGTCCGGAGTTTCAGTGGAACCTCGCACTCACGCATTTAAACAAAATTTCCAAAAGGACCTGTTCAATACACAATTAAGGAAAAAAATAATATTTTAAAATTAATTCCAGTTGAACAAGATTTTTGAGAAAATGAAAATTTTGAAGAAGAAATTGACCTTTCCTCTGGTGAAAACCAAGAAAATCAAAGTAAATTTGAGAAAAGCCTCGGATCAGCATTAACTTTAAATAAATTCTAAATTAATCAATTACCTTTTATAGAAATTCAAATTCCACCTTGTAAATTATTTATTGATACCGGAAGTCATGCCTCACTAATAAGACCTTCCATAGCCAAAAAATACTTTAATTAACTAATACAAAATCTAAACTATCCATGTACGGGTACAACCACTTAAGGAGGAAGGAGTTATATTGTAAGACCCTATGTTATCTTTATACTAATAATTTTCCTTTCCTATGATAATAATAAGCTTACGCCTATGTCAAAACTCATAATAATGTAAAACTGCTTAATCAGCGGTACTGCACTGGTAGTACCACCATTCCGCCTACGTAAATACTGCATCAGCAGTTATTTCTTATTCAAGCCAGCGCAATCCCGTAAGGAGCGTTCATTTGTTTTCAGGCATTCGCTGTAGCAATTTGATCCACATATTTTCGTTTGTACCTATTGTATTTAATTAAGCAGCGTTTTCCTAGCAACGCACATTTTACGCGGCGTAGAACGTAATTCGGTCGGCGTAATACGCTGAGGACATGTCTAATGGAAATCAAATGGAGGCGTTTTCCTACACTGCGTAAAAACGACTTGCGCTGGCGTAATTCGGTCGACGCAACAGGACGACTGCTCGGAGAGCAGTCTATTCAGTTGTACGCTGCGTATTGGCAGAGAAAGTGATCCTGTTGCAAAATGAGTTCACAAAAACAAATCCGTTTTAGTGCTAGTGATGAGGAACAATTAATAGAAATAGTGAGTGGTTACCCAATTCTTTGGGACATGAAACTGAAGGAGTTTAAAAATGTAGCCAAAAAGGACACAATTTGGAATGAAATGGACAAAATGTTGAACAAACCGGGTAATATTTGTTGTTTTTTTTTTAAGGAAGAGTTTTGTATATGAGAAAACAATTTATTATAACTATAGTGATTTATTTTGCAAATATGTTTAAGTACAATGTTATTTTAATACAACGCTGTGGCGCCTATTCATTTCTGCGTCTGTTTCTGAAGTAGTCTTTGAACTGGGTTCTAACTTCAAATCCTTCGGCATTGGCAAATCCTCCTACTCCAGGCAATGGTATCATATTTTCCGCTGGCAGTTCATATGTATCTTCTGCTTGACTAAACGAAGCACAACGTTCAAGGGACTCTTCTCTCAAGTAGTTGTGTAAACAACAACATACCCAGATAATTAAGTCAACTGTCTCAGGTTTTACATTAATAGGTGTAAAAAAAATTCTAAATACAGAACACAATATGCCGAAAGCGTTTTCAGTCACCCTTCTTGCACGACATAGGTGATAGTTGAACCTCTTTTTGTCACCATCTTGTACAGCTTATTTGCGACAATAAGGTTTCATGACATGTTTATCTAATCGGAAAGCCTCATCGCCTACTATTACATGAGGCAACAGAATATTCGAACCTGGTAAGAATCTCGGAGGAGGAAAAAAACTTCCATTTGAAATCTGCTTTCCCATTTCTGATTTGTTGAAGATTCCAGCGTCCCCTTCCTTGCCATAAGACCCCACATCAATACCAACGAATTTGTACTTTGCATCCACCATAGCAAGAAGAACAATTGAGAAGTAATTTTTGTAGTTATGGAATAAGGAACCTGTGTTGTCTGGTGCTACAATCCTAACGTGTTTGCCATCTAATCCTGCTAAACAATTTGGAAAATTCCATCGGTTCCAGAATTCTTCTGCTTTTTCTTTCCAATTTATTTGAGAGACAGGTGGTAAAAACGTAGATTGCAGGCTTGTTTTGAGTGCTTTTAAAACTATTGGAACGAACTTCGATATGGCAGACGGTGATATACGATAGGAAAATGCCATGGAACGAAACGACTCCCCTGTAGCAAGGAATCTGAAAAAAAAATTACAGCAATTTTAAAGAGAAAATAGTCTACATATATTTTACAGAATAAAATCTAGTTAATCAAGGCATTCTTCCGAACATTATTCCATATGGTCCGTTTGACTTTTTTATGCTCACAAGAAATATTTATTCATTTAAATGAGAAATGCATTTTCAGATGGACAATGCAAATCTCGTTGGAAGAGTGTTCGGGATCATTATAAAAGGCAAAGGAAGCTAGAAAAAAATACGCCTACTGGGTCCGCAGGTACGAAGAAACGGGCTGTGTACTGGGACAGATTGAGGTTCTTGGAGAATGTGGAAGATGAGCGAGAGTAAGTAAAATACATAAGTGCCACATATACAGGATGGCGCAGGGAAAACCTTTTCCATTCTCATACCTATGAAGCGAATTTTCAATAATATTTTTTTATTTTGTTCCAGAAGTTTTTCAAATTTCGAATTAGACGAAGTTGACACAACTGATGAAGATCAGGGCGAGCTGAATAAAAGCGGTCAATGTACAGCTAGCGATGAACAAGAACAAGATACAACTGGAACTAATGATACTGCCGAGGAACAACTCAATGATAATAAATTGAAAAGGAAAAGAGAAATGTCCAGGTCTCGAAAGTCAGATAAAGATAAGTCTGAAGTTTCAAGATTAGTAAGTCCTTCGACAAAGCGAAATAAAACAAATGAAGCACTGTTACAGTCACTAAAAAATAAGGAGCAAGAGAGGCAACTTCTCGGGAAATATGTTGACCAAATAATGGGGTCCAGTGAAGAAAACGAAATTGACCTTTTTTTCAAAAGCCTTGCTGCTACTGTCAAAAAATTTCAGCCTGAAGATGTAATCGAGGCTAAAATGAAAATTTTTAACGTGATAACCGAAATTGAAATCAGAAATCAGAGAGCAAGAAGGAGCAGAGTGTCTACCTTTAATGAAAGCTGCAACCGACCAAACTCAGCATTATCTTCTCAAACATATGTGGAACATTCATCTATCTCCAATATGTCCATGGATCCACTCTCACCGAACATTAACTCTGAAAATGCACTGTATGCAAATCCATCGTCACCCTTCCAAATACACAATGCTCAGCCGCCATCCATGATGTCACCCCAATTCAATACGGATTCATCTGAGGCACTGTTTGTAAATCCAGCGTTACCTCTCCAAGTCCAAAACGCGCTTCCATCTTCCAAGGTGTGGTCCAATATATTATAATAAAAAACATTATAAATAAAAATTGTTTTATAAATATAGTTTGGATTATTTGGAAAAAAAATTATTATACTATTTATTTATATACCTACCTCAATGTTAGGCCAAGTTTTTCAGGTGGCGAAATAGGATGTCGCACACGATTACATGATTCTTTACTTAAATCTTTTCTCACAAGATCGAGGAGAAATGAAAATTGCTGCCTTGTAACTCTGAAATATGCTTTAAATTTTACTTCGTCGTCGATTAGATGCCTATGAATAAATATTTTAAATGCTCCTTCGGTTCTTCTTTTTTGAAATAATTGACTAGCAGAATTTCTAGTCCTCTTATGAATCGTGGCTATTATTTCAATCTCCTCTTGCAAAATTTCATCTTGCAATAGCAATAAAGCTAAAGTAGCGTTTTCCTAGCAACGCACATTTTACGCGGCGTAGAACGTAATACGGCCGACGCAACGCAACATCCAATGCGCTGCGTAAAAGTGTTTATTTGTCACTCATTTGTAAAACGTCACTTATCAAGTCAAAACATAACCAGCCGAAATTGATTTTTACAAGCTACTGGCTCTACTGACTTGTAAAATTGACAGCTAAACTGTAATAGTATATTACAATCCGAGACGGAAAATACTTCATTGCTGGTCGAGAGGTTATTATAGTTTATCGAGACGCGAAGCGTCGAGATAAACTCAACCTCGAGACAGAAATGAAGTTTTCCGTCGAGGTTTGTATACTTTTTTATTTTCAACCCTTAATTTTCTGATGCAAAAACTAAAGATTCTGTTATACGAAATTTTCATATAGTGTAAAACTGGCCTTAGAAAAAAATATTTCACTTTTTTTGTCAATGTCATCAATTTTGACGATCTCAAAGGCCCTGTAAAGGCCAAAACAAAAGACGAAACCACAGGAAACCGCAAAATCAACAACCATAGATAAGATCAACAACGCCTTAACGACGGTAGTTTTCGCTCAGTATTTTTGCGGAAATAATAGATTTTCACTAGATTTCTCCCCGTTCTCCCCAAAGAAATGATTTCGGAAAGTGAAGATGAAGCGATGGATTGTACCCCACCTGAATTAAAAGAAGCAGCAGACAGGATTGGAGAGAGTTTGCTTCCAGCAAAAAGCAAATTTCGGTACGAAAAGGCTTTTCAAATATTCGAAGCATGGTGTAGCCAGAAAGGAACGAGAAATACTGCCTCGGAGACCGTTTTGTTGGCGTATTTTGGCGAATTATCTAAGGAAAAGAAGCCTTCGACTTTATGGTCGACTTACAGTATGTTGAAAACCATGATTAAATTGAAAGAGAAAGTTGATATCTCCAATTACGCAAAACTTATAGCTTTTTTGAAGCGGCAAAATCTGGGCTTTCAGCCGAAAAAGTCGAGCGTTTTTTCCAGAGAAAACATTAACGAGTTCCTCACGAAGGCAGCTGAAGAATTCATTAGCATCAAGGTAGGTTTTCAAAAAATATACAAAGAAGATAAAAATGCGAAAATCAAAATGATTTTCTGTATGCTATAGCTAGGTTACCCATTTTATTTTTATCTGGTTTCAGGTAGCGCTAATTGTTGGTGTGTCGGGTGCATGTAGGAGCGATGAACTAGTCAAGATGAAAATGGAGCACGTCAACGTTTTGGAAGGAAAGATCGCTATAGAAATTCCACACACAAAAACTTACACAAGTCGATCGTTTATCATAAGCGATCCAGATTGGGTTGCTATTTTCCACAAATACCTCACTTTGCGGAAAAATTTGAAAAATGACAGGTTATTTGTTCAATGGCGAAATGGGAAATTACATAACCAAGCAATTGGCTATCATTCAATCTCAAAATTTCCACATAAAATAGCTGCTTTTTTGAAGCTTCCAAAAATTGAAACTTTTACAGGGCATGCTTTTCGTCGTACTTCCGCAACCTTATTGGTTGACAACGGGGCCGATCTATTGCAACTCAAAAGACTGGGAGGGTGGAAATCGAGCACGGTTGCTGAAGGCTACATAGAGGCATCTTTGGAGAACAAAAGTAAGACTGCTCTGATGCTATCCTCTACTTCCAAAGGTATTCAGTTGTCCAGTGCATCCACAAGTACATCACATGCGGAAACTCATCCGCAAGCGCAAGAGATAATAGTTCCAAACGAAACACAATTCCAACAGGATGGTCTCAAGATTTCCATTATAAAAAACAATGCTAATTTAACAATTAATGTAAATAAGTGAATAGATTTAATTAGTTCCATGTAATACATGTGGTTTTATTATTATATGTGAGAGCTGTATGAAAATTATCAATTTGGAACGAGCAGGGAAATGGGGACGGAAAAGCATTTGCCGTCCCGGACGGAAAATGCTTTTCCGTCCTAGGCAGGCATATGCATTACCGTCCCGATAAATGTCAAAGTCCAGAAATGTGACACTTTCAAGATTTTGAAAAACCTGCAATGTCAACATTACATATGTGGTTGAAAATAATAGTATATTACAATCCGAGACGGAAAATACTTCATTGCTGGTCGAGAGGTTATTATAGTTTATCGAGACGCGAAGCGTCGAGATAAACTCAACCTCGAGACAGAAATGAAGTTTTCCGTCGAGGTTTGTATACTTTTTTATTTTCAACCCTTAATTTTCTGATGCAAAAACTAAAGATTCTGTTATACGAAATTTTCATATAGTGTAAAACTGGCCTTAGAAAAAAATATTTCACTTTTTTTGTCAATGTCATCAATTTTGACGATCTCAAAGGCCCTGTAAAGGCCAAAACAAAAGACGAAACCACAGGAAACCGCAAAATCAACAACCATAGATAAGATCAACAACGCCTTAACGACGGTAGTTTTCGCTCAGTATTTTTGCGGAAATAATAGATTTTCACTAGATTTCTCCCCGTTCTCCCCAAAGAAATGATTTCGGAAAGTGAAGATGAAGCGATGGATTGTACCCCACCTGAATTAAAAGAAGCAGCAGACAGGATTGGAGAGAGTTTGCTTCCAGCAAAAAGCAAATTTCGGTACGAAAAGGCTTTTCAAATATTCGAAGCATGGTGTAGCCAGAAAGGAACGAGAAATACTGCCTCGGAGACCGTTTTGTTGGCGTATTTTGGCGAATTATCTAAGGAAAAGAAGCCTTCGACTTTATGGTCGACTTACAGTATGTTGAAAACCATGATTAAATTGAAAGAGAAAGTTGATATCTCCAATTACGCAAAACTTATAGCTTTTTTGAAGCGGCAAAATCTGGGCTTTCAGCCGAAAAAGTCGAGCGTTTTTTCCAGAGAAAACATTAACGAGTTCCTCACGAAGGCAGCTGAAGAATTCATTAGCATCAAGGTAGGTTTTCAAAAAATATACAAAGAAGATAAAAATGCGAAAATCAAAATGATTTTCTGTATGCTATAGCTAGGTTACCCATTTTATTTTTATCTGGTTTCAGGTAGCGCTAATTGTTGGTGTGTCGGGTGCATGTAGGAGCGATGAACTAGTCAAGATGAAAATGGAGCACGTCAACGTTTTGGAAGGAAAGATCGCTATAGAAATTCCACACACAAAAACTTACACAAGTCGATCGTTTATCATAAGCGATCCAGATTGGGTTGCTATTTTCCACAAATACCTCACTTTGCGGAAAAATTTGAAAAATGACAGGTTATTTGTTCAATGGCGAAATGGGAAATTACATAACCAAGCAATTGGCTATCATTCAATCTCAAAATTTCCACATAAAATAGCTGCTTTTTTGAAGCTTCCAAAAATTGAAACTTTTACAGGGCATGCTTTTCGTCGTACTTCCGCAACCTTATTGGTTGACAACGGGGCCGATCTATTGCAACTCAAAAGACTGGGAGGGTGGAAATCGAGCACGGTTGCTGAAGGCTACATAGAGGCATCTTTGGAGAACAAAAGTAAGACTGCTCTGATGCTATCCTCTACTTCCAAAGGTATTCAGTTGTCCAGTGCATCCACAAGTACATCACATGCGGAAACTCATCCGCAAGCGCAAGAGATAATAGTTCCAAACGAAACACAATTCCAACAGGATGGTCTCAAGATTTCCATTATAAACAACAATGCTAATTTAACAATTAATGTAAATAAGTGAATAGATTTAATTAGTTCCATGTAATACATGTGGTTTTATTATTATATGTGAGAGCTGTATGAAAATTATCAATTTGGAACGAGCAGGGAAATGGGGACGGAAAAGCATTTGCCGTCCCGGACGGAAAATGCTTTTCCGTCCTAGGCAGGCATATGCATTACCGTCCCGATAAATGTCAAAGTCCAGAAATGTGACACTTTCAAGATTTTGAAAAACCTGCAATGTCAACATTACATATGTGGTTGAAAATAAAAACTTTTTACAAGTCAGTAGAATTATTTATTTTTGAAAAATCGGTTTTATCACAAGAATAATTGCTTGTAGGTACCTTCTGGGAGACTTTTCTGGTGATAAACTGTTGGCTACGACTGAGGCTTCATTAATAATATCTTGTAATAAATTCATTTCTGGAAAAAAATTGCAAAATGGAAATCTGTCAAAAAACCTATTTATAACTAGAAACAACGTCTTAACAACGTATCATTCTCATAGTTATACCAACTACCAAAACTTCTGTGAGAAAAAATCAAGGAAAAACATATAAATTTCAAATTTTTGTTATGTATTGATTTTTTATTTGTCCCTATATCTTTTACAAATGAGTAACAAATAAATTATTGTACATTATACGCCAGGTAGCAGTTTTTACTGGCTCTTGAAAGTGACAGCTCGCCTGGCGGCTCGCTAGTCATTTCCTTCAATCGCCAGTAAAAACTGTTTTACCTGGCTAATAATGTAAAATACTATTTCCTAGGATTGTCAGTTGCGTCCCGATCGTCGCGATGAGTATATCAATAAAGAAATTAGCTTTGGCTTTATTATTATTACAAGATGAAATTTTGCAAGAAGAGATTGTTATAATAGCCACGATTCAT